CTGCAGCATGTTAAGGGTACAATACAAATATTTGAATAATCATGACATAATTGCAATCCAGTTTGCCCATGCAATCCTGGTGAAACCCCCAGGAAGGCAAGTGGTTTCAGTGAGCACAGAATATCCTTGTATTTCATTCACTTGCAAAGTAATTGGCACAACACGCTTCATTCCAAACATATCCGCTCAAAGAGATAAGTGAAAAGAATAAACAGTGTAAATAGATGGATTTATTTCACTAATGTAGGAGGCATTTTAAAGGCAACTGTTCAATAGCAAGCTTTAATGTCAATGCAGTTTTAATGAAGTCAGAATACATTACATTGCTGGCATTGCATTTGTAGATGTAAACCAGCATAGTTCCACCGCCTGAGCTGGAGCTTTCCCAGTCTATAACTTTGAGCCTTGAAAAATCTTATCAAATATTTACAGTTGTTTGTCCTTTCTACTTCTTCTGTTTCTTTGTATCCTAAGACTATTTTCTCCTGTTTTTTCCCCCCACTAGATCTCTGTTCTTTCAGTAGGTCTAACGATTATCTTCTTCCTCTCTGCTTTGGTCTCTTCAGCTTTCTCCAGGAACACTTTTTTATGTTTCATAGAGTCATAGAATAATCTGGGATGGAAGGAAACTTTGGAGATCATCCAGGTCCACCTCCTGCTCAAAGCGGGGCTAACTTCAAAGTTAGTTCAGGTTGCTCATGGCTTCCTCGTGTAGTCGGGTTTTGAGTATCTACAAGGATGGAGACAGCACAATCTCTCTGAGCCCTTGTTCCAGTGCTCAACCCCTCATTTGAATTTATTTTTTTTCATGTTTCATTATCGATTTTTCCAGTCTGCTCCTTTAAACAACCTCCATAATTCTCCAGCTTTGTTTCATCCTTGTGCCTGTCTCCATCCTTCTACCCTTAAAGTTGTAGCAAACGTACTATTTCCTTGCTTTCTCAATGTTTTGATGTACTTCTATTTCTTCATAACAGAAACACACCCCTTCCTTCGATATGCAGGGTTATATTTACTCCTCACAAGACTCAAACTGATGCCATATGGGTAGAGGTCAGGTTGAATGACCGCAGCTTATTGCCCAAAGCCATTCAGGGAACATGAATACTACTAGAACCGCCTTAAAAACCCCCTCTTAATCTCCTTTGCTCCTGCACAGCTAAACCATTTTGCATTTCAAAATCAGACTTGTGTCCAGTACCTGTAGAGCTTCAGTGGTTTCTGAAAGCGTAGTGGCTGCTAAATATATAAAGGTGTTTGATTTGAATGAACATTGAATGAATCTGCTTATATTTGCTTTGAAGTGGGCTACAATGAAGCTTTGTGCCTGAAGCGGGAACATTAAACTTTGTCTTCCCTGATGCTTGATGCCTTGGTTCACTTTTAGAAAAACAATTTTGCAAATCATAAACAAGTGAAACAGCACATCTTCATCAGCATGTATTTGGTTAAGCTTAATGAAATAATGCCCTTTGACTTCACCACTGATGACTGTTTAAGTTGCCTGAGGAAGGAGATAAGTTGCTGTGCTCTGACTACTATTTCAATAACTGAGATTCAAAAATGTGGCAAATTCTCATTTGCTGGAGATGTACAAAGGCATGTACAATTGCTCCTCTAAATTTATTTTTTTTCTCGTTATTCATGCTTTTCACAACAGTCAGTAAAATCGAAGCACTCATCCCTAAATTTAAGTCTACTACTACGCAAGCATCCCATTTGTTAGGTTTCTGTGACAGAACATCTCAATGTACTAAAACAATCCTCGTGCTTCGGTGACAGTGAGGATGGAGCTCTCTCCACCCACCTCCTGTTCTTTCTCACCACCCAATGCTCAGAACTGGAGTTTCTTGGTTTTTTTTTTTTTTTTTTTTTTTTTTTTTTTTTTTTTTTTTTTTTTTTTTTTTTTTACCTCTTATGATCAGTCTTCTTCAGTGTAAGTAATTTAAAAGAAATAGTTTGGAAGTCTAGCTTCATCGTTGGATTACTTTGATACTCACGGTATTTGGAGACACAGGCCTTCTGTTTGTTCTCACTTTCCAGAAGTCTCCAGATTTCAAATATTTGTTTCTTGTCATATGGCAGTGCTTATCAGTGACCCACGTAGACAAAAGAGCGTAACATGCATCTGAGAGCTGCGATCTTCAGAGTACTCAAGAAGACAACTCAGTATTCCCAAAAAGATTTAATATTCTCCAGATTATGCTGAATAAGTATAATCAATATACTTTGGAATAATTCAGACATCCCTTGTACAATCCTGGACTCTGACTTTATTCTGGCAGTGAAGGCTTTTCCAGTACTACTTACCTTAATTCAAAGCCTGATCAGCTCATTGCCTCATTTCAGCAGAAGAAAATGTGACCTCCAACTCGGTTTCTATCTTACAAGATTCCTAAAATAGCAGGTGAGTCAGACCACAAAAGAGCCTTAAGACATAAAAGGCACTTCAGGCTCAAAGGCCACCCTTGAGGCCATTTTGCGTTTGACAGAGCAGTCATTGACTCCTCTTGTACCCCGGTAAGAGCAGAGGAAGAAGCTGGATGAGCTCAGTTCCACCTGGGCACTGACACCTCCAGCCATTCAATACCCAGGTTATCGCTTCTGAAGTTTTTCATGCTCTCTTGGCCACCAGTGCACTGATGAACAAATGCACTGAACACAGAACTTGCTGAGATTGTACACAGCTCTGTTTAAACCTTATGTCTGACTTACTTTTTGCTGAAGGGGAGAAGAAAAGATTGAGACAAAGCACTTAATAAAGAGAAGATAAAAGGAATATTTGAAAAAAAAGTTGTATGTACATTGCAGGTTTTCTGAAGAGCATTGGTGGCTGAATAGACAGATCTCCCTGCCTGTATTGACTAGACTCCATCCAGCTTAGATGCGGATGCTCACTGTAGGCATCTGCATTTTAAATATTTTCATGTAGATGAGCAAGTCTGAAAATTATTCCCCCATCTTTAACAGTGATTAGTCATTAACTAAATGGATTCTCCAACTTGGGGAATTTTTAGTTCAAGGCTAGATACCCACTCTCCCCACCCCTGTCCCCAAATATGCAGGTTTAATCACAGCTATGAAAACTAGATTTGAGGACCAAACAATTGAAAACTACTTTTAATTAAAACAAATTTCAAAACTGCCTCCTTCTTCTGAAAAGGAACCATTGCACTCGTAGAGCGATGGCCAGAGTACAGCCTCCAAACAATCAGTTTTCAGTGAGACTGATAATCCCCTGGCTCCATGTGAGGGGTGCAGGCTTCCTCGAGTGCTGGTACAAGCAGTTTTATGAAGACTTTGCCCAGACAGAATAACCTAAGCACGGAACACAGTAAGAAAAGAAAACAATTCCTGTCTGGGGACACCACGGTGGCAGGCTCTGCCTCAGGATTTCCTTCCTCTGAAGCTGATGTGCAGGGGAAAGTGGTCAATGAGGTGCCTGGGGGTGACACTCAGCCTCAGGGGGCACCCCCAAACTGCCTTGATCCTTCTCAGGGTGAATTCGGCATTGCCCAGCTTCTCAGAAGTCATAGAATCAGAGAAAGGTTTGGGTTGGAAAGGGCCTTAAAGATCATCCTGCTCCAACCCCCCTGCCATGGGCAGGGGCACGTCCCACTATACCAAGTTGCGCAAAGCTCCATCCAGCCTGGTCTTGAACACCTCCAGGGATGGGGCATCCACAGCTTCCCTGGGCAACCTGTTCCAGTGCCTCACCACCCTCACTGTAAAGAATTTCTTCCTAATATGTACCCTAAATCTCCCCTCTTCCAGTTTGAAGCCATTACCCCTTGTCCTATCACTACATGTCCATGTGAAAAGTCCTTCTTCCAGCTTTCTTGTAGCCCCCTTCAGGCACTGGGAGACCACTATAAGGTCTCCCCAGAGCCTTCTCCTCTCCAGGCTGAACAGCTCCAACTGTCTCAGCCTGTCCTCGTAGGAGAGGTGGTCCAGCCCTCTGATCATCTTCATGGACCTGCTTCAACAGGTCCATGTCCTTCCTGTGCTGTGGGCCCCAGAGCTGGACACAGTACTCCAGGTGGGGTCTCACCAGAGCAGAGCAGAGGAGCAGAATCACCTCCCGTGACCTGCTGGCCACGCTTCTTTTGACGCAGCCCAGGATACAGCTGGTTTTCTGGGCTGCCAGCGCACATCGGTGGGTCATACTGAGCTTCTCATCCACCGACACCCCCAAGTCTATTTATTTCCCTTAAATGACACCTCTTTGGGGCCCTGACGCCCGCTGCACCGGCCGAAAGGGCGGCATGCCGCGGGACGGGTGGCCGGGCCCCCTGCCCACCCCGGGGGTGCTGAGGGCCCGGCCCGGGCGGGCGGTGCCTGAGGGGAGGCGCGGGGGGGGAGAAGGAGGGGGGCTGCCGCCGCCATTGGGCCGCTCCTGCCCCGGGGGCGGGCCGGGGCCCGGGCC